TGTGTGTGTGTGTGTGTGTGTGTGTGTGTGTGTGTGTGTGTGTGTGTTAGTGCCTGTGTATGCAGCTTTGTGTACTATAGTGATGATGATAATCTCTCACTGTTGAGACTGCTCTTTTATGTTGCACTGTAACGTGTGAGTACTTCTCTTTCTCTGCCTCTCTATCAGGCTGTGTGTGTGTATTTATGTTCTACAGTGATAATACCAATCTCCCACAGGGCTCTAAAGAGATGGTGTGTGTGTGTGTGTGTGTGTGTGTGTGTGAGAGAGTGTGAGTGAGTGAGTGAGTGAGCAATGCAATCCCAGTCCATCACCGCTCTGTTCCAGAGTAGTAATCAGCTCGCTTTTATGTCGGGGTGGGTTGTTTACAAAACCTTTCATTAACAGCTGGCTCATAGTCTCGTCTCGTCTCTGATGTGTGTAGGTGGGTGTGTTTTTGTTTCGCAGACATCAGACAAGTCAGCTGTCTTTATGTGTGCACACTTCCTTTTTATATGTGTGGATCACACCTCAGGCAAAGAAATTGTAGTGTTGTTTTTTTTTTTACTTTTAAGCAATTTTATTATAATAATGAATGAGTTTGGATACAGTTTTGAATCTGAACTTGAAAAATCTATTTAAAAATCAATATGCAGTAGCTTAAGTTTGGCTGTCTTTGGCTACCCATATCAAATGCATCCTGGCTACTGTGTGTGTGCGCATGGGTGTTTGTGAGCATTTAAGCACACTGGTTTGAAGTTGCTCAGATGTTTGTTAAAGTAAAGGGGAGAAGGCCATCAGCCAACGGAAGTGTCATGAAACCTCCTCCGCTCTAAGTAAAATAACGAGCTTAGCCACCCACTTTTTCTTCTAAAGACACTCTACAAATTACTTAACCGTATCTTAAAGAGCATAAGCACAGGCTGTTCTGAACTAAATACAGACTGTCCTTTCCAGGAATCTTTTGATGAAACTAATTTCCTGTCTGCTCTTGGGGTGTCATTGACTGAGTCTGGCTCTGAGCAAACAGAAAAGGTTTAAAAGGAATATTTTACCTTGGTTTGCAGTCTGTCTGTTTCCATATTAATGTTCGTCATTTATGGGTCTGCACCCTAAAAGTCGATAATTCGAATCATCGCTCAGGGACTCCCGGGTCCAATCTCAGTTTGGAGAGGACTGAAGCATTTTTTTGCCGCCTCTAAATCAATGAGTGATCTGAGCACCGCATTCAGCTGCTCACTCTGAAAGATGTGCAGAGAATTCACTTTCTACTTGAATATCAGTTTCAGAGTTTAAGTGTCTGACTTTTTTTTTTCTTGCTGTGTCATTGTCTAAAGAGAAAAGCAGCATAAATACCTTGGCATGCTACAATGATTTAAAAACCTAGACAACTATGCAGGATCGGAATACATAATATAAAAGACTGCAAACCAGATTCATCTTGGAAATTTCAGAGTCGGATTGAGTTTTAGCAGTGCCGTGTATTTATTATGATGCCAGCATGACGGGATGCTTCGTCATTAACGGAAAATGCATATTGTCAAAATCAATGTCAATGACAAGAACAAACTCATAAGAACCAGTCACATATATTTATATGACAACAGAGCAGGTAGAATAACATAAAACCGAAATAACACAATTCAACAGGTCTCTGCACATTCCAGCAACACTGCGGCGCTAAAACACGCATTCCGCCACACACTCAAGAGCACCATTCAAATATTAATCACATCAGAGGGAACAATATTAACCATATCATAAAAATGACACGATAGAAAAATGAACACAGTAGTAACGCTGCTGCAGGTGTAAAAAAACAAAAGCAGTTCACTTACCGAAGCTGCTGTTCACTATTTAAAGACAAAGTCATCCTCCTTTCTTTGATTAGAGAGTTTAATACCACGGTTGTACAGTACATCGGTGCAGTTCAGTTCCAGCCAGAGGTCCTTCTCGATTCATGGACGCCAGTGATGACAGTCGAGCCTCCCCAGTTGTACTTCTTGAACACGTTTTAATGCGTTTGGGGACTGAAAATGTCCGCTCGACAGAGGCAGCAGATATTGGGATTGTCACCGCCAAACATGCCAAAACGCAAAAAATGTAATGTCACGTAAAAACTTGCATATCTTTAAACTTTAACTCTTACTACTACAAAGTTCTGCTATCTAGTTTCACAACAGTCACGCTAGCCCACTGACCAATCAAACCGCACGTTAATGCTGACGTATACTTGTAGGCCAGCTAGAAGGCTCTGGCATGTCAAAGAATACGAGAATGGTCAGGGAGAATAGAACTCCCTGACCAGACAACGCCGTGGTAGCAGCCTCTAGGTAGCCACGCCCTAAAGCATACCTTACTTTACTCTATTTTACTCTAAATGGGACCATAATTTACAAAATGAACATAATGCTGTATTGAGGAAGACTTGAAACTAGCATTTGAGACCATAAACATGTTTACAATGTTGACTGAGGTAATAAATCAAAAGAGAAGTAGGGTAATTGTGTCACTAGAGGAGTCACCCCCTGCTGGCTATTATATATAATGTCAGTTTATGACACTTCCATGGTAAAC